CGCCCTCAGCTTCGAACTCGCGCCCCCCACCAGGCTGGTGTGAAAGGCGTTGGCTGCTCAACAGCAGCTTTTGGCGAGGGGAGGGAAAGCCCGCGGTCGCCTCGCCCTCCTCCTTTTTGGGCTTCAGTTGGCTGGGGGCATCCTCCACAACGCGCGGCACCGCAGAGGACAAAAGCTGCACATGCTGGGTACGAGGGGTCGGAACATACTGGGACCGTATCACCACGCACGTGGCGTCAATGACAAAGACACCTTCTCCAGGAGCAGGGCCTCGGGAACTACGGGGCAGGGTGTGGGCGCGGCGGGTCACCTTCCAACCCTCCAAGGTCTTGGGTCCTGCCCCTTCTCTATGACCCAGGGACTCTCTCCATCCCGTGCCTCCTGGAGCCCAGGGCCTGGGGAGGGTCTGGCTATGTCGGGGAGCCTGCTTTTTAAGGGAGGGACTCCAGCATTTGGGGAGCCAGCTCTGTTCTCTACCTTCTTTCCCTTCCCCAGAGCCCTTGAGATGGGGCCTGGACCTGGGAGCGGGACGCGGGGGGCTGGGAGACGCAGCTGCAGACCCCGCAGGAGCTGTCTCCGTGCCTGGGCTCCCAGCAGCTTTGGCTTGGGCATGGCCGTCATTACCACTGTTCAGGCCAGCAGCAGCCAGCCCCAGGCTTTTCTCCGCGGCCCCCTTGCCGGACTCCAGCCTTGGCCTGGCTGTTCCACAGCCTGGGGATCCCCCCAAAAGACCTCGCCCCTGTCGGAGACCCCAAGCCCCAAGGACGTCCCGGTAGATCCGAGGATCCAGCTTCTTCTTTGCGCACCCTCCCTCTGTCCTGGCTGGAGTGGGAGCAGGGGCTGACGAGGCAGGGACCTGGGAGGGCTCGGAGCCTCGCTTAGTCCCCAAGGTCCTGTGGGGGCCTTCGTAAGAAGGTGGAGCCACGTAGGGTGGCGGCCGGTCCCAGCGGCGTCTCGGGGCTGCCCCGGCAGCGCCTCTCAGCAGCAGGTGAGCCTCGTAGCTGGGGGGCCCTGGCCGCCGACCTCCCCAGGGCCTCGCCCACGCCGCCCCTGGGTCGCTCTGCGGCTGCGCGAATGGACGGGGCGGTCGCCCCACCAGCCCCAGGCGCTCCGGCCGGGAGGGAGCTGGGAGCCCTGCAGGCTGGGCCACCCGAGGGGCGTTCCGAGGTTCCGGGCGGGGCCGACCCAGGGGGCTCCTTCGGGCCCCACCAGCCTTGCGCCTTTTTCGCTCGGTCTCCTTGGCCTCCCGCTCCTGCGATGCTGCTTTCCTTTTCTCTTGCTCCCGGGCTCGGACCTCGGCCGGGGGCCCCGCCCGCCAGTTGGTCGCCTCCTGCAGCACCCTGGAGGCCCAGGGCCGGCGGGGCGGCGGCTCAGGGGATCCCGGGCGCGGCCCACACCTGGGACAATGAGCAGGAACCCAGGTGAGCAGTTTGTGGGGGAAGGGAGCCGAGGTCCGGGGAGCTGGGAGCATTGGAGACCATTTGGGGCAGCCATGTGGAGGGGTGTGTGTGAGTGTGTGCGCGTGTGCACGTGCGTATATGTTAGGGCTGAAGTCGAAGCGGGACTCCTCACCATCTCTCCATGCACACTTTAACAGCGTCTGCCCCATCTCACCTCCTGCCCTTTTTCACGCCCACTCCTGTCCCCCCAAAACAACGCGGGGTGAATCAGGCCCCAGCCCTCGGGATTGAGGGGGAAGCGTGGGAAAGAGAAGGGGGACCAGCAGCGCTGGCTGGTGCCTGCGGGGAGGTCTGGACCCCACTCCCCGCCCCACCACTCTATTCCCCTCACCCGTCCTTCACTCACGTGCGGCTCTGGGGCCCTCGAGCCCAGTAGCTGGCCTGGTAGTCCATGGGCTGTCGAGGAGGGGCACGGCGACTATAATGACAAGAAATAGTCTTCACTTGGATCACCAGCAGCTTGGATTTCTGCACCCAGAGGCAGCTGCCAGATTCTTCATCCTGGAGCTCCCCGGGGCTGTCGGGCCCCTCGCAGAAT